GAAAAAGTTGTAAACACATGATTGCATGACTTCACCTTTTTAGTTCTACCATGCCGAGAATCTTATCAATGATAGGAGAGAACATATAAAAAAGCAGTGAATATTCTCTACCATTTGGAACGAATTTGAACATTTTCAAAAAAAAAAAAAAAAAAAAAAATCTTTAAAAAGTTTTGCTAAAATCATCAAAATACCGTATATATGGAGGTACCGTTATATCGGAGCTATACGAAGACCTGGACCTGTACAGACAATATTCTGTCACGGGCTGTAGCATCCATTACGAACTCAAATACGACATCTCAAACAATTTCTGTCAGTATTGTACCTAAAATCGTCAAAATACCGAATATCGGGAGGTACCGTTATATGGGGGCCATACGAAGACGTATCCATTTCTAACTTCAAATAACAAAATTGAAACAATTCCGGTGGATAATGTCGCTAAAATCATCAAAATATCAAATATTGGGAGGTACCGTTATATTGGGGATAAACGATAATGTGAGCCTATATAGACACTAGTCTTCCAGGGGATGAAGCATTCAGAAGGAAATCCTTATGTGAATTTTCAGACAATTTTATTGAAAAAAATATGGCTACAATCATCAAAATACCGAATATCGGGGGTATTGTAGACTATATAGACAATTCGCTTCCAGGGGGTAAAGTACTCAAAATGAAATCCTCGTGTTTATTTTTAGACAATTTCATTGAAAATTGTGGCTCAAATCATCAAAATACCGAATATCGGGGGTGCCGTTGTATGGGGGCTATATGATATCGTAGATCTATACAAAAATTCTCTTTTAGAGGGTAAAGTACTCATAAAGAACTCAGATAATTTCATTGATTTGATTTGTTTTGATTCTAGCGTGATTACAATAGAGGGACAGACAGTGCTAAATCGTCTTAGAATTTTACGCTGATCAATAATATATATACTTTGTTATGTCTAAAATGATTATTTCGATGAGTTACAAACGGAATGACGAACTTATTATACTCTCCATACTATGTATGGTGGAGGGTATAAAAAGCACGTCCTCAAAAGGAATATCTGAAAAAAGGAATATAAATTACCCAAAAATAAGAAAATTTAGTTTCGGCATACCTATCTCTAACAATCAATTTTCCAATTTTTTAAAAAAAAATCTATGATAAAATTTCCATGGTTTATTCAACCTGGTGTAAGCATGTTATTAGAAATACGTCACGCTTTGCTCTTTGACGGAATGAATGTAATGCAATGAATGGTAATGACGCTTATAAATGAGCATGGCTTCCATTACAATATTTGGCGCTCGTATAGACGTACGGTACTGAGAAGTTGAGGTGTTTATTAATTGGTACGTATAGAATTGGTACGTATTGAAATGAGTAAAAAAATAATTAAATAAACATCGCGCGTCGGTTAATAAAATTTGTTAGTGAAAGTGAAAAATGTAAGAACATATGAATGGGGAAACGGAGAACGATTAAAATACGTTCATTTTCGAGACTATTCACGACGATAATTCGATTGTTTTCAATTAATCGCGAGCGATAAAGAGTGATGTGCTGAAAAATTCTAAATGAGCCATTACCATATTCAAATTCGAAACTTGAAAAAAAACGGTGAATAATGTAGCTAAACTCATCAAAATATCGCATATATGAAGGTACCGTTATATCGGAGTTATACGAAGACCTGGACCTGTACAGACAATTTTCTGTCACAGGCTGTAGCATCCATTACGAACTTCAAATACGACATCTGAAACAATTTCTGTGAGTATTGTACCTTAAATCATCAAAATACCGAATATCGGGAGGTACTATTATTTGGGCCCATACGAAGATGAGGACCTGCACAGACAACTTTCTGTCGTGGGCTATAGTATCCATTTCGAACTTCAAATAGCAAATTTGAAACAATTCCGGTGGATAATGTCGCTAAAATCATCAAAATACCGAATATCGGAAGGTACCGTTATATGGGGGCTATATGAACGTGGACCTATATGTCCCATTTACGAACTTAACCTGCCTACTGGCAAAATAAACATGTGTGCAAAATTTTAGCCCTCTATCTTGTTCTACGCCAGGTGCAAAAAGTGGATAATATCGGTCCACTCCATCAAATACCTCTTCCATTTAGACTTCACACATTTGAATATTTCTACCAACACAGGATCTGTTATAAAGACGGTAGAGATCGGACCATTCCTTCTAGTTCCTCCCCCACAAAGGTTCAATGTTTGAATATTTTTAAATAATCGAATATACCGATCGAATATATATACCGAAAAACGACCGACACTTTTTGACTTATTTTATATATTAAATTTGTTATTGAATTTTTCGCAAAATTCCCAAAATTTTTGCAAAACAATTTCTCCATTAGCATCACCGGTCGAAAACGACACCAATATTTAGGTTTGGTATATATCATATTAAAACCAGGATTTTCGTGATCGGGAGACTTCCACTTTTCACTTACCCATTGAAAATTTGATGTAGAATATTTCTTCCATTGTCATCATATCCCAAAAATGTGGTACTCAGTCTATATTAAATTAGATCCAAATAAAAACGAAGGAGAAAATTGAAAAAGAATTACTGACCTTGAGCGCTAATCTTCGTGGTATATATCCGGTCTGGAGACTTCATATTTTCATCTACCCGTAGCAAATTTGATGTGGGAAATCTCTTCCGTTGACAAGATATCCGAAAAATGTTTTTGATGGACTGCTTCAAATCAATTCTAAAAATCAAAAAAAAAAAAAAAAATCAAAATATTAAAAAATAAATTGAACGCCTTCGAAAAATTATTTACCGGCAACGAAGTTAGAAAAAATTCAAAATTAGGTGCGGCTTTGTTATTTATTTTGAGCCCAAACATTTTTCAATTTCTTTAGATATGAAACGGACGTAAATCTTTCGAGCTCTTGATTTGCCGTTAAAAATACAGTTAGGTGCGGAAAATTGTAACAATTCAATCATTATGGGACGGCCAATGCTAAAAAATTAGGAACAACTCTAGTTTAGTAAAAACTCTTAGATTTTTTCGAAATTTTTTCCAGAGGTAGGTATTTTTACCCTGATCCCGGGAAACTATTTTTTTCTTGGGGGACGGACCCGGGACCCCAGATTTTTGACCCAAAAGTCCGGGATCAAGACCCCGCCTGGACCCGGATCCACTTACCCGATATAGACAATATGGGTATCGATTGAAAGCTTATGGAAATACCTATCCAACAAGTGGTTACATGAAGGGGTAAGTTGTCATGGTTATGCGGATGGAAAGACCCATATCTCTGGACTCAGTAAAGGTATTAGCACAAATTGAACCTTTTTGGAAAGGTAGAAGTGTCAGCTATAATTTGGCATAAATTTTGTTGTCCCCCATAATGGACCCTTTTTTGACTTTTTGGGGGTTTTATAAAAAATCCGGGTCCAAAAAATCGATAATTTGACTATAACTTCCGAATCGTAAGATCTTACCCCATCATGTGACCACTTGTTGGATAGGTATTTTCATAAGCTTTCCAACGATACCGATATTGTCTATATCGGGTAAGTAGATCCGGGTCTAGTCGGGGTCTCGAATCCGGACTTTCGGGTCAAAAATCTTGGGTCCCAGGTCCGTCCCCCAAGAAAAAAATAGTTTCCCGGGATCATGGTTAAAATACCTACCACTGAAAAAAATTTCGAAAAAATTGAAGAGTTTTTACTAAACTAGAGTTAAGCCAAAAATTATGAAATATTTCGCGATTTGTGGCTCCCGTATAAGCTGGCTGTCAGTGGTTGTAATTGCTAAAAAAACTGAATAGATACAATTTTCAAATAATTGTTGGAATCGTTCAAAACAGATTCCATAAAATGATTGATTTAACGTGGCGAAAATGCTGGAATATGTAAGATTTGGTGCCTGAGGGATGACATTCTTGGGCGAAATAAGCAAACAAAAACTCATTGGAAATTGAGGAATATGTCATTGTCATATGACACAACAAAATAGAAATAAGCTAATGTTAGCTTCACAAGGATGTCACCTTTTATAGAAATGCTACGTGAACACAACAAATTTAATCTAAGAAGATTCATTGAATATTGACAAATGGAATCAGTTCAAAGGAAATGGTGACTCAAATCAGGATGTGAATACCCTACTAACTTTGGCTATCAAACCCGTCTTTCCCGCATTGAAGAAGTTGAAAGAAAACCATTCTAAGTTAAAGAAGATTCGATATTGACAAATAGTTCCAATGGCATTGGGTCGGCTCCCACTTGGACACTTACATATTTCTTTTGTTCTATGAACCATGGTGGAATTTGCTGTAGAAGATTTTCTCCATCTTTGCTAACCCTCTAACTGGAACAATAATGGTAGACTTCGGCTCTAATTTAATTTACACGTTCATATAAATCCAAAATTCAATAATAAAAAATTTTAAATTTGTTTGTTCCGTTTTCTCTTTGATCTGTGATATATGCAGATTTTTCTTGTTCGCTGACCAACGATAAAATGTTTTATAGAAAAATTTTTCCATTGACATCATCCCCTAAAAATGTGGTTTCAATGGTGATTTCGGTAGTTTATTAAAAAGTATGAGAAAACAGTGCAATATGTAAATTTTAAATTGGTTAGCGCCATTTTCACGATGATCCATGATATCAGCAGATTTATTTTGTTCGTCGTCTCATATTGAAATTTGGTTTAGAATCATTTCGCCTTTCACGTCGTACCCAAAAATTGTGGATTTTGTGGGCAATTTTTGAAATTTATTGAGTACATGTTTAAATAACACCACATAATCTTAATTTTATATTACAAATTTGTTATTACATTTTCACGATAATATATCGTATATACAGATTTCATTTGTTTGGTGACCTATAATAAAATTTTGTGTACAATAATTTCTCCTTTGCCATCGCTTTATGGGTCATTTTGGCACTTAATCGAGATTGGATTAAATTTAAACCATAAATATTTAGTTTTTGTATATATCACATTAAAAGCTGGATTTTCGTGATGTATATCATGTCTAGAGGTTTTCAATTTTCACTTATCCTTAGCAAATTTCATGTAGAAAATTTCTTCCATCGACATCATATCCCAAAAATGAGGTATTCAGACTATAATGAATCAAATCCATATAAAATCGAAGGAAACAATTGCAAAAAAGAGTATTACTGAGCATGAGTGGTAATTTTCGTGGTATATATCCTGTCCAGAAACTTTCTATTTTCACAGGCCCATAGCAAACTTGATGTATGATATTTCTTCCGTTTACAAGATATCAAAAAAATGTCGTCGTCAGAATTTTTAAAACAATTCCAAAACTAAAAAAAAATACAAGAAATTAACAAATAAACATAGCGCCTTCAAAAAATTATCTAACGGCAACGAAGTTAGCAAAATTCAAAATTTGGTCCGGCTTTGTTATTTATTTTGAGCCCAAACATTTTTCAATTTCTTTAGCTATGAAACGGACGTAAATCTTTCGAGCTCTTGATTTGCCGTTAAAAATACAGTTGGGTGCGAACAATTGTAACAATTCAATCATTATGGGATGGACAAGGCTAAAAAATGATAGAATATTTCGCGGTTTGTGGCTCCCGTAAAAGTTGGCCGTCAAAGGTTGTCATTGCTGAAGAAAAAATTGAATAAATAAAATGTTTAAACAATTGTAGGAATCATACCAAGCAGATGATATAAAATGTTAAGAATGATATAAAATAAGTTTTTTAATGGAGGAATACTGCGGATTTGGGGAATAACAAAAAATCATTTGATATAGATCGTCAGATGGAAAAAATACGGCTTTTGTAAAGAAAGGCAAGATGTGACAAAAGAATGGGCTAAAGCACCAATTTGTTATCCAAGATGTTGCCCTTACGGAAGACATTTTTTTAGTTCGCGGACCCATAGTAAAATTTTATATAGAATCATTTATCTATTGGCATCATCCCCCAAAATGTGGTTTCAATAGTCATTTCGGTTGTTTATTAAAAAAATATGGAAAATAGCCCAATATGTAAACTTAAAATCGGTTAGTGCCATTTTCACGATGATCCATGTTATCTAAAGATTTTGTTTGCTCGCTGACCCATCGTGAAATTTAGTGTTGAATTATTTCTTTAACATGTGAAAATTACATGACATATTCCTTATTCTTATATATTAAATTTGTTATTGATTTTTTCACTATAATATATCATATATACAGATTTCATTTGTTTGGTGACCCAGAGCAAAATGTTGTGTAGGACAATTTATCATTTGCCATCACTGGTCAAAAATGTGGCTTTAAGGGTCATTTTGGTACTTAATGAAGAATGGATGAAAATAACAATATAAAAGTTTAATTTTTGTATATATCGTATAAAAAGCGATATTCTCGTGACATATATCATGTCTAGAGACTACCAATTTACACTTACCCATAGAAAATTTGAGGTAGAAAATTTCTCCCATTGGCATCTTATCCCTAAAATGTGGTATTCAGGCTATATTAACTTAAATCCAAATACCCTGACCCTGAGGGCTAATTTTCGTGGTATATATCCAGTCTAGAGACTTACTATTTTCACAGGCCCACAGTAAATTTGATATATGAAATTTCTTCCGTTGACAAGTTTTCCAGAAATTGTCGTCGGACTGTTTCAAAACAATTCCAAAAATCAAAAAAAAAAAATCAAAAAAATTAAAAAAAATAAATTTAACGCCTTCGAAAAATTATCAATCGCCATTGAAGTTGACAAATTTCATAATTAGGTCCGGCTTTGTTATTTGTTTTGAGCCCAAACATTTTTCAATTTCTTTAGCCTTGAATCGGACGTAAATCTTTCGGTCTCTTGATTTGCCGTTAAGAAAACAATTAGACGCGGAAAACTGTAACAATTCAATCAGTATAGGATGGGCAATGCTAGAAAATGATTGCGATTGCGATTTGTCGTTCCCGTATAAGCTGGCTGTCAATGGTTGTCATTGCTGAAGAAAAAAATTGAATAAGTATAATTTAGAAGTAATTGTTGAAATCATGCAAAGCAGATACTAAAATTCAGCAAATTACACCTATTATAACAGAACGCGAAATTTTTGAGATATGGCGGATTTGGGGCCGCATTGAAGAATTTCAAAGAAAACCATTCTAAGTTAAAGAAGATTCGATATTTACAAAGAAGAAATCCCAATAGTTCTAATAGCATTGGATCGGCTCCCATTGGGACACTTATACGTTTCTTTTGTTCGATGACCTATAGTCGAATTCGCTGAAGAAGATTTTCTCCATTTTTGCCGACCCTCTAACTGGAACCATAATGGTAGTTTTTGGTTACAATTTATTGTTCACGTTTATATAAACCCAAACTTCAATAATTATAACCATTTAACATTTTTAAATTTGTTATTGCTGCTTTCACTATTATTCGTGATATATACAGAATTTTCTTGTTCGCTGACCCACAATAAAATTTTATATAGAATCATTATTAGTAATTTCGGTAACATATTCTCAAACATGGCAAAATAGTCCAATACGTAAAATTTAAATTTGTTAGTGCCACTTTCGCGATGATTTATGCTACTTAAAATTTTCTTTTGTTTGTTGACCAATAGTGAAATTTGGTTTAGAATCATTTCTCCTTTGACGTCGTACCCAAAAATTGTGATTTTGTGGACACTTTCGGAAGTTTATCAAAAACATGTGAAAATAACACCACGTAGTCCTTAATTTTATACCTTCAAGTTGTTATTAAATGATTAATCGCAAATACAGATTCTATTTGTTTCGAGTCTTCCTACTTTTACCTACCCATAGCAAATTTGATGTAGGACATTTTTTCAGTTGACAAGGTATCCAACAAATGTCATTGTCAGCCTGTTTTAAATCGATTCCGAAAATAAAATAAAAAAGTGAAAAAATTAATTTAACGCCTTCGAAAAATTATCCACCGGCAACGAAGTAAGCAAAATTCAAAATTAGGTCCATCTTTGTTGATAATGGAGGAATGCAGCGGATTTGGGGCATGAGCGATGACAATCACGGACAAAATAAGCAAACAAAACAATGATTGGAAATTGTGGCAATAGTCATTGTCAAATGGAAAAAATAAGGTTTTTGTAGAGAACGGACAAAATGGGCTAAGCACCAAATTGTTACCCAAGGGGGAGAGGCGTCAGTTAAAAAAAGTTCAAGACAAATGGGGACCAAATCAAGATGTGAATATTCTTTTAATTTTGGCTATCAATGCTGTCTCATCCGCATTGAAGAAGTTGAAATGGAAACATTTTAAATTAGAAAAGATTCGATTTTGACAAAAGTTTTATGAAAAATCAGTTATCTATTGACAACATCCCCTAAAAATGTGGTTTCAATTGTCATTTCTGTAGTTTATTAAAAATATGGGAAAGTAGCCCAATATGTAAATTTTACATTTGTTAGTACCATTTTCACGATGATGCATTTGCAGATGATGCAGATTTTTATACCCTCAGCCTATGGCTACAGAGGGTATATATCATTTGATACGGTCAAAACATGCCTCATCGAAATAACGGTTTTAAACCCTAGGTCTTTTTGGACCAAATCCGTTTCAGGACATTTGGAGTCGATCTAGCGATGTCCGTCAGCCTGTCTGTCTGGCTGGTTGGTGCGCACGATAACTCTCGAAAAGAGTATACGATTTGATCCAATGTTGGTTCATCGCAATATTATTGTCAAACTTAGATCGAGTTCGGAGATGAACAATATCGATCCACTCCTTCTGGTACCTCCCACACAAAATGTCAAAATTTTCAAAGAAAATATTTTTTGAACTGAAAGAGAAAAGATAATCCGATTTTGCACCTACTTTGCGAATCCTAATATTTTTATCAGTGCTAATTCAGGTGCGAAAATCTACAATATCGGTCCACTCCATCAGGTACCTCCCCCACAAAAGGGTCAAAATTTTGAATAATTTCAACTCTTATAAAATGTGATGTAAAAGTCCGATTGTCTTCAAATTTTACACATCTCACAACTTTTATGAACCCAAGGTCTGGTGTATAAATAAAATATACTGGTCTACTCCCTCTGATATCTCCCACACATAATCTCGAAATTTTCAAAAAAACATATTTTCTGCACTGAAAGGCAGAAGATAATCCGATTTTGCTCCAACTTTGCAAATCCTAACATTTGTGTCAGTTCTACGCCAAGTGCAAAAATGGATAATGTCGGTCCACTCCATCAAGTGCCTCTCCCACAAAGGGTCAAAATTTTGAATATCCATTAAGCTTATAAAACGCGAAATTAACATCCGATTCCATTTAGATTTGGCACATCTGAATATTTCTACCAACACAGGATCCTTCTGGTCCTCCCCCACAAATTGTCAAAGTTTTGAATAACCAAAACGTTTATAAAATCCGAAATAAGCATCAAGTTCTCTTTATATTTCACACCTATGTTGTGAAGATGGGATATATCGGTCCGCTCCTTTTGGTACCTCCCGCACAAAGGCTCAAAATTTTGCTATATCTAAATATTGTCAAGCGTTTAAATAATCATAACAAAAGTCAAAATATTTTTAAATAATCGAATATTGGCATCTGTCGGAAAAAACGACCGACACTTTTTAATTGTTTTATATATTAAATCTGTTATTGAATTTTTCGCGATGATATATCGTTAAAAAGATTTTATTTGTTTGATTACCCATACTCAAATTTTGTGCAAAACAATTTCTCCATTAGCATCACTGGTCGAAAACAACACCAATATTTAGTTTTTGTATATATCATATTAAAACCAGGATTTTTGTGATCGGGAGACTTCCACTTTTCACTTACCCATTGAAAATTTGACGTAGAATATTTCTTCCATTGTCATCATATCCCAAAAATGTGGTACTCAGTCTATATTAAATCAGATCCAAATAAAAACGAAGGAGAAAATTGCAAAAAGAATTACTGACCTTCGTGGTATATATCCTGTCTGGAGACTTCATATTTTCATCTACCCGTAGCAAATTTGATGTGGGAAATTTCTTCCGTTGACAAGATATCCGAAAAATGTCGTTGACGGACTGCTTCAAATCAATTCCAAAAATCAAAAAAATAAAAAAAAATAAAAATATTATAAAAAAAATTAAACGCCTTCGAAAAATTATTTACCGGCAACGAAATTAGCAAAATTCAAAATTAGGTCCGGCTTTGTTATTTATGTTGAGCCCAAACATTTTTCAATTTCTTTAGCTATGAAACGGACGTAAATCTTTCGGGCTCTTGACTTACCGTGAAGAAAACAATTAAGAGCGGAAAAATGTAACAATTCAATCAGTATGGGATGGGCAATGCTAGAAAATGATGGAATATTTCGCGATTTGTGGTTCCCGTATAAGCTTGCTGTCAATGACTGTCATTGCTGAAGAAAAAAATTGAAGAAACATAATTTTAAAAAAATTGTTGGAATCTTATAAAACAGATACCATGAAAAGTAAACAGAAATAAGAATGATTTAACAAAATTGTTGATAATGGTGTAATACTGCAGATATGGGGCATGAAGGCTGACATTCGCGGAAAAATTAACAAGCAAACAATCGTTGGAAATTATTAAATGGAAAAATAAGGCTCTTTAGAAAACGGCAAAATAGGACGCAGAAGAATGGGCTACAAGACCAATTAGCTACCCTATGAAGAAATGACACCAGGACCAGGAAATTTAATCTAGAAATAATCATTAAATATTGAATGCAGGTGTCAATTGAAAGAAAAGTTCAAGGCAAATGGTAAACCAAATCAAATCAGTCTCTCCCGCATTGGAGTAGTTGAAAGGAAAACATTTTAAATTAGAGAAGGTTCGATTTAAACAAATTAAGAAATCCCAAACTTCAAAAGACATTGCGTCTGGTCCCGTTGAACATTTCCCATTTAGGGCACTTACTGATTTATTTTGTTTAATGGCCAATAGTGGAATTTGCTGAAGAAGATTTTCTGCATTTGTGCCAACTCTCCTATTAGAAACTTAATGGTAGATTTTGACTCCAGTTTAATGTTCACGTTTATACAAACTCAAACTTCAATAATATAACTATTTGAAATGTTCAAGATGTGTTAGTGAAGTTTTCACGATGATCCATGATATCTACAGATTTCTTTTGTTCGCTGACCCATTGTAAAATTTTATATAGAATCATTTTTCCATTGACACAATACCCCAAAAATGTGATGTCGATTGTTAATTTAAAAATATTGGAACATAGTTCAATATGTAAATTTTTAGTTTGTTAGTGCCATTCCATTTTCACCATGACCAATTTTTGGGTACGACGTCAATGGAGAAATGATTCTAAACCAAATTTCAAAGAAAACTGTTGATATCATGGATCATCATGAAAATATTTTTTAATAAACTACCGAAATGACTATTGCAACCACATTTTTGGGGGATGGTTGGTGTCTAGGGACAAATGATTCTATATAAAATTTTATCGTAGGTCAGCGAGCAAAATACATTTATAGCTATCATGGATCATCGTGAAAACTTCACTAATGAATTTAAAACAAAAATTTATGTTAATATGAACGTGGACATTTAACTGGAACCTACATCTACCATTATATTTCCAGTAGGAGGGTTGGCACCAATGCAGAAAATCTTCTTCAGGAAATTCCACTATTGGTCATCAAACAAAAGGAATCTGTAAGTGCCCTAAATTGGCAATGTTCAACGGGAGAAGACGCATGGTCATTTGAATTTTGGGATTTCTTAATTTGTCAAAATCGAACCTTCTCTAACTTGAAATATTATTTCTGATTATTTCTAAATTAAATTTCTTGTATTCTGGTGTCATTTCTGTGAAGGGCAACATCTTTGCAGCTAATTTTGTGATTTAACCCATTATGTTGTGTGATATTTTTCCGTTCTCAAATAAAAACTTATTTTTCTCCATTTGAAAATGACTTCTGCCTCAATTTCCAAAGATTTTTTTATTTAGTCCGCGAATGTCATCCTTCTTGACCCAAATCCGCAGTATTCCTCAATTACCAACATTTTTGTTAAATCATTCTTGATCTATTAACATTTTATATCATTTGTTTTGTATGATTCCCACAATTGTTTGAAAATTTTATTTATTTATTTGTTTCTTCAGCAATGACAGTCATTGACAGCCAACTTTAACGAGAGCCACAAATTGCGAAATATTTCATCATTGTCTAGCATTGCCCATCTTATACTGATTGAATTGTTAAAATTTTCTGCTCCTAATTATTTTCTTAACGGCAAATCAAGAGCTCGAAAGATTTACGTCCGTTTCATAGCTAAAGAAATTGAAAAATGTTTGGGCTCAAAATAAATAACGAAGCCGGACCTAATTTTGAATTTTGCTAACTTCATTGCCGTTGGATAATTTTTCGAAGGCGTTAAATTTATTGTTAATCTTTTGATTTTTTTTTTGGTTTTTGGCACGGTAGAAGAATATAATAGGTAGACGCGTCGACACAGCTGCTGAGACAATGAACTGTCAAACCAATTTTGTAATTTAAAATGTTGAATGAAAAATTATTTAAATTTGTAAAAATTGTTGAAAAACGCGAATTATATAATATAATAGCCTTCGAATGTCGTAGTATAAGAAAACATATAAAAATCTTCTTATATTTGAAAAAACTTTTGAATTTTATTGACATATCAAGGCACCCAAGCATTGATGCATCTACCTGTATTCTTCTGCTATGGTTTTTGGAATTGACAGTCAAAACTGCCCGCCATCGACTTTTTTGGATATATTGTCCGGGGAAGACATTTCCTTCAACAAATTTGCTATGGGCCTGTAAAAATAGGAAGTCTCCAGACAGAATATATACCACGGAAGTTTCCGCTCAAAGTCAGTAATAATGTTTTTTGTAATTATTTCCCTTAATTTGGATTTGATTCATTATAGACTGAATTCCACAAAAGAGAAATTGTTGTACACAAAATTTTACTATGGGTCACCAAAAAAATGAAATCTGTATATACGGTATATTATCGCAAAAATGAAATAACAAATATATTGCATACAAGTAAAAAAGTATCGGTCGGTTTTGCCGACAGATGTATACCCTCAGCCAATGTTTGATTATTTAACAAGTAAAAAAACATTAAGTTCGGCCGGGCCAAACTTTTAATACCCTCCACCTTAGGGTAAAAGAAACATTAGAAGAAATGTGGCAAAAACCATTAAAATGCCGATTATGGGGAGGTACCGTTATATGGGGGCTATACCAAAACGTGGACCTATAATTACAATGTTTCGCCACCGGAGCTGGAACCCATTATGACCAACAAATACCGATTTTCAGACAAATCCGTGAAAAAATGTGGGAAAAAAACTAAAATACTAAATATCGGGAGGTACCTTTATATGGGGGCTATACCACAGCGTGGACCTATACATGCAATGTTTTGCCACACGCTCAGGGACCCGCTATGACCTACAAATACCAATTTTAAGACAAATCCGTGAAAAAATGTGGCATAAATCATCAAAATACCGAATATCAGGAGGTACCGTTATATGGGGACTATACCAAATTATGGACCCATACATGCAATGTTCCGCCACCGGAGCTGGAAACCATTATGACCCACAAATACCAATTTGTAGACAAATCGGTGAAAAAATGTGGTAAAAAAAACTAAAATACTAAATATCTACTAAAATAATAAATATCGCCACCGGAGCTGGAACCCATTATGACCAACAAATACCGATTTTCAGACAAATCCGTGAAAAAATGTGGGAAAAAAACTAAAATACTAAATATCGGGAGGTACCTTTATATGGGGGCTATACCACAGCGTGGACCTATACATGCAATGTTTTGCCACACGCTCAGGGACCCGCTATGACCTACAAATACCAATTTTAAGACAAATCCGTGAAAAAATGTGGCATAAATCACCAAAATACCGAATATCGGGAGGTACCGTTATATGGGGACTATACCAGAACGTGGACCGATATATCTCATTTTCAATACCAACCATCCTAGACACAATGCAAATAGCTCTGTTAAATTTAGCTCTGTTAAAATATCGTGATTTCAACAGACAGACAGACAGACGGACATCGTTAAATCGACTTAGAATTTTATGCTGATTATGAATATATATACTTTATGGGGTCTAAAACGAATATTTAGGGATGTTACAAACGGAATGACAAAGTTAATATACCCTCCTTTCCAAGGTGGAGGGTATAAAAATATTTTGACTTCTGATATGATTATTCAAAGGAATGTGCCAATATTGTCCATTTTGTATGGGAGCTAAATCAATATGCTAGTATAGAATGGAATCGGATGTCAATTTCGCTTGTTATGAGCTTCACAGTTATTCAAAATTTTGAGCCTTTGTGTGGGAGGTACCAGAAGGAGTGGACCGATATATCCCATATTTACATTGGATCTTTAGTTAGTGGAAATAACTAACTATAGATCCGTTGTAAATAAATTATCCTTAGCAAATTTCATGTAGAAAATTTCTTCCATCGACATCATATCCCAAAAATGAGGTATTCAGACTATAATGAATCAAATCCATATAAAATCGAAGGAAACAGTTGCAAAAAAGAGTATTACTGAGCATGAGTGGTAATTTTCGTGGTATATATCCTGTCCAGAAACTTTCTATTTTCACAGGCCCATTGCAAACTTGATGTATGATATTTCTTCCGTTTACAAGATATCAAAAAAAATGTCGTCGTCAGATTTTTTAAAACAATTCCTAAACAAAAAAAAATACAAGAAATTAACAAATAAACATAGCGCCTTCAAAAAATTATCTAACGGCAACAAAGTTAGCAAAATTCAAAATTTGGTCCGGCTTTGTTATTTATTTTGAGACCAAACATTTTTCAATTTCTTTAGCTATGAAACGGACGTAAATCTTTCGAGCTCTTGATTTGCCGTTAAAAATACAGTTAGGTGCGAACAATTGTAACAATTCAATCATTATGGGATGGACAAGGCTAAAAAATGATAGAATATTTCGCGGTTTGTGGCTCCCGTAAAAGTTGGCTGTCAAGGCTGTCGTTGCTGAAGAAAAAATTGAATAAATAAAATGTTTAAACAATTGTGGGAATCATACCAAGCAGATGATATAAAATGTTAAGAATGATATAAAATAAGTTTTTTAATGGAGGAATACTGCGGATTTGGGGAATAACAAAAAATCATTTGATATAGATCGTCAGATGGAAAAAATACGGCTTTTGTAAAGAAAGGCAAGATGTGACAAAAGAATGGGCTAAAGCACCAATTTGTTATCCAAGATGTTGCCCTTACGGAAGACATTTTTTTAGTTCGCGGACCCATAGTAAAATTTTATATAGAATCATTTATCTATTGGCATCATCCCCCAAAATGTGGTTTCAATAGTCATTTCGGTTGTTTATTAAAAAATATGGAAAATAGCCCAATATGTAAACTTAAAATCGGTTAGTGCCATTTTCACGATGATCCATGTTATCTAAAGATTTTGTTTGCTCGCTGACCCATCGTGAAATTTAGTGTTGAATTATTTCTTTAACATGTGAAAATTACATGACATATTCCTTATTCTTATATATTAAATTTGTTATTGATTTTTTCACTATAATATATCATATATACAGATTTCATTTGTTTGGTGACCCAGAGCAAAATGTTGTGTAGGACAATTTATCATTTGCCATCACTGGTCAAAAATGTGGCTTTAAGGGTCATTTTGGTACTTAATGAAGAATGGATGAAAATAACAATATAAAAGTTTAATTTTTGTATATATCGTATAAAAAGCGATATTCTCGTGACATATATCATGTCTTGAGACTCCCAATTTACACTTACCCATAGAAAATTTGAGGTAGAAAATTTCTCCCATTGGCATCTTATCCCTAAAATGTGGTATTCAGGCTATATTAACTTAAATCCAAATACCCTGACCCTGAGGGCTAATTTTCGTTGATATATCCAGTCTAGAGACTTACTATTTTCACAGGCCCACAGTAAATTTGATATATGAAATTTCTTCCGTTGACAAGTTTTCCAGAAATTGTCGTCGGACTGTTTCAAAACAATTCCAAAAATCAAAAAAAAAAAAATCAAAAAAATTAAAAAAAATAAATTTAACGCCTTCGAAAAATTATCAATCGGCATTGAAGTTGACAAATTTCATAATTAGGTCCGGCTTTGTTATTTGTTTTGAGCCCAAACATTTTTCAATTTCTTTAGCCTTGAATCGGACGAAAATCTTTCGGTCTCTTGATTTGCCGTTAAGAAAACAGTTAGACGCGGAAAACTGTAACAATTCAATCAGTATAGGATGGGCAATGCTAGAAAATGATTGCGATTGCGATTTGTCGTTCCCGTATAAGCTGGCTGTCAATGGTTGTCATTGCTGAAGAAAAAAATTGAATAAGTATAATTTAGAAGTAATTGTTGAAATCATGCAAAGCAGATACTAAAATTCAGCAAATTACACCTATTATAACAGAACGCGAAATTTTTGAGATATGGCGGATTTGGGGCCGCATTGAAGAATTTCAAAGAAAACCATTCTAAGTTAAAGAAGATTCGATATTTACAAAGAAGAAATCCCAATAGTTCTAATAGCATTGGATCGGCTCCCATTGGGACACTTATACGTTTCTTTTGTTCGATGACCTATAGTCGAATTCGCTGAAGAAGATTTTCTCCATTTTTGCCGACCCTCTAACTGGAACCATAATGGTAGTTTTTGGTTAAATTTATTGTTCACGTTTATATAAACCCAAACTTCAATAATTATAACCATTTAACATTTTTAAATTTGTTATTGCTGCTTTCACTATTATTCGTGATATATACAGAATTTTCTTGTTCGCTGACCCACAATAAAATTTTATATAGAATCATTATTAGTAATTTCGGTAACATATTCTCAAACATGGCAAAATAGTCCAATACGTAAAATTTAAATTTGTTAGTGCCACTTTCGCGATGATTTATGCTACTTAAAATTTTCTTTTGTTTGTTGACCAATAGTGAAATTTGGTTTAGAATCATTTCTCCTTTGACGTCGTACCCAAAAATTGTGATTTTGTGGACACTTTCGGAAGTTTATCAAAAACATGTGAAAATAACACCACGTAGTCCTTAATTTTATACCTTCAAGTTGTTATTAAATGATTAATCGCAAATACAGATTCTATTTGTTTCGAGTCTTCCTACTTTTACCTACCCATAGCAAATTTGATGTAGGACATTTTTTCAGTTGACAAGGTATCCAACAAATGTCATTGTCAGCCTGTTTTAAATCGATTCCGAAAATAAAATAAAAAAGTGAAAAAATTAATTTAACGCCTTCGAAAAATTATCCACCGGCAACGAAGTAAGCAAAATTCAAAATTAGGTCCATCTTTGTTGATAATGGAGGAATGCAGCGGATTTGGGGCATGAGCGATGACAATCACGGACAAAATAAGCAAACAAAACAATGATTGGAAATTGTGGCAATAGTCATTGTCAAATGGAAAAAATAAGGTTTTTGTAGAGAATGGACAAAATGGGCTAAGCACCAAATTGTTACCCAAGGGGGAGAGGCGTCAGTTAAAAAAAGTTCAAGACAAATGGGGACCAAATCAAGATGTGAATATTCTTTTAATTTTGGCTATCAATGCTGTCTCATCCGCATTGAAGAAGTTGAAATGGAAACATTTTAAATTAGAAAAGATTCGATTTTGACAAAAGTTTTATGAAAAATCAGTTATCTATTGACAACATCCCCTAAAAATGTGGTTTCAATTGTCATTTCTGTAGTTTATTAAAAATATGGGAAAGTAGCCCAATATGTAAATTTTACATTTGTTAGTACCATTTTCACGATGATGCATTTGCAGATGATGCAGATTTTTATACCCTCAGCCTATGGCTACAGAGGGTATATATCATTTGATACGGTCAAAACATGCCTCATCGAAATAACGGTTTTAAACCCTAGGTCTTTTTGGACCAAATCCGTTTCAGGACATTTGGAGTCGATCTAGCGATGTCCGTCAGCCTGTCTGTCTGGCTGGTTGGTGCGCACGATAACTCTCGAAGAGAGTATACGATTTGATCCAATGTTGGTTCATCGCAATATTATTGTCAAACTTAGATCGAGTTCGGAGATGAACAATATCGATCCACTCCTTCTGGTACCTCCCACACAAAATGTCAAAATTTTCAAAGAAAATATTTTTTGAACTGAAAGAGAAAAGATAATCCGATTTTGCACCTACTTTGCGAATCCTAATATTTTTATCAGTGCTAATTCAGGTGCGAAAATCTACAATATCGGTCCACTCCATCAGGTACCTCCCCCACAAAAGGGTCAAAATTTTGAATAATTACAACTCTTATAAAATGTGATGTAAAAGTCCGATTGTCTTCAAATTTTACACATCTCACAACTTTTATGAACCCAAGGTCTGGTGTATAAATAAAATATACTGGTCTACTCCCTCTGATATCTCCCACACATAATCTCGAAATTTTCAAAAAAACATATTTTCTGCACTGAAAGGCAGAAGATAATCCGATTTTGCTCCAACTTTGCAAATCCTAACATTTGTGTCAGTTCTACGCCAAGTGCAAAAATGGATAATGTCGGTCCACTCCATCAAGTGCCTCTCCCACAAAGGGTCAAAATTTTGAATATCCATTAAGCTTATAAAACGCGAAATTAACATCCGATTCCATTTAGATTTGGCACATCTGAATATTTCTACCAACACAGGATCCTTCTGGTCCTCCCCCACAAATTGTCAAAGTTTTGAATAACCAAAACGTTTATAAAATCCGAAATAAGCATCAAGTTCTCTTTATATTTCACACCTATGTTGTGAAGATGGGATATATCGGTCCGCTCCTTTCGCGATGATATATGGTTATACAGATTTTATTTGTTTGGTGACCCATACTCAAATTTTATGCAAAACAATTTCTCCATTAGCATCACCGGTCGAAAACGACACCAATATTTAGTTTTTGTATCTATCACATTAAAACCAGGATTTTTGTGATCGGGAGACTTCCACTTTTCACTTACCCATTGAAAATTTGACGTAGAATATTTCTTCCATTGTCATCATATCCCAAAAATGTGATACTCAGTCTATATTAAATCAGATCCAAATAAAAACGAAGGAGAAAATTGCAAAAAGAATTACTGACCTTCGTGGTATATATCCTATCTGGAGACTTCATATTTTCATCTACCCGTAGCAAATTTGATGTGGGAAATTTCTTCCGTTGACAAGATATCCGAAAAATGTCGTTGACGGACTGCTTCAAATCAATTCCAAAAATCAAAAAAATAAAAAAAAATAAAAATATTATAAAAAAAATTAAACGCCTTCGAAAAATTATTTACCGGCAACGAAATTAGCAAAATTCAAAATTAGGTCCGGCTTTGTTATTTATGTTGAGCCCAAACATTTTTCAATTTCTTTAGCTATGAAACGGACGTAAATCTTTCGGGCTCTTGACTTACCGTGAAGAAAACAATTAAGAGCGGAAAAATGTAACAATTCAATCAGTATGGGATGGGCAATGCTAGAAAATGATGGAATATTTCGCGATTTGTGGTTCCCGTATAAGCTTGCTGTCAATGACTGTCATTGCTGAAGAAAAAAATTGAAGAAACATAATTTTAAAAAAATTGTTGGAATCTTATAAAACAGATACCATGAAAAGTAAACAGAAATAAGAATGATTTAACAAAATTGTTGATAATGGTGTAATACTGCAGATATGGGGCATGAAGGCTGACATTCGCGGAAAAATTAACAAGCAAACAATCGTTGGAAATTATTAATTGGAAAAATAAGGCTTTTTAGAAAACGGCAAAATAGGACGCAGAAGAATGGGCTACAAGACCAATTAGCTACCCTATGAAGAAATGACACCAGGACCAGGAAATTTAATCTAGAAATAATCATTAAATATTGAATGCAGGTGTCAATTGAAAGAAAAGTTCAAGGCAAATGGTAAACCAAATCAAATCAGTCTCTCCCGCATTGGAGTAGTTGAAAGGCAAACATTTTAAATTAGAGAAGGTTCGATTTAAACAAATTAAGAAATCCCAAACTTCAAAAGACATTGCGTCTGGTCCCGTTGAACATTTCCCATTTACTGATTTATTTTGTTTAATGGCCAATAGTGGAATTTGCTGAAGAAGATTTTCTGCATTTGTGCCAACTCTCCTACTAGAAACTTAATGGTAGATTTTGACTCCAGTTTAATGTTCACGTTTATACAAACTCAAACTTCAATAATATAACTATTTGAAATGTTCAAGATGTGTTAGTGAAGTTTTCACGATGATCCATGATATCTACAGATTTCTTTTGTTCGCTGACCTATTGTAAAATTTTATATAGAATCATTTTTCCATTGACACAATACCCCAAAAATGTGATGTCGATTGTTAATTTAAAAATATTGGAACATAGTTCAATATGTAAATTTTTAGTTTGTTAGTGCCATTCCATTTTCACCATGACCAATTTTTGGGTACGACGTCAATGGAGAAATGATTCTAAACCAAATTTCAAAGAAAACTGTTGATATCATGGATCATCATGAAAATATTTTTTAATAAACTACCGAAATGACTATTGCAACCACATTTTTGGGGGATGGTTGGTGTCTAGGGACAAATGATTCTATATAAAATTTTATCGTAGGTCAGCGAGCAAAATACATTTATAGCTATCATGGATCATCGTGAAAACTTCACTAATGAATTTAAAACAAAAATTTATGTTAATATGAACGTGGACATTTAACTGGAACCTACATCTACCATTATATTTCCAGTAGGAGGGTTGGCTCCAATGCAGAAAATCTTCTTCAGCAAATTCCACTATTGGTCATCAAACAAAAGGAATCAGTAAGTGCCCTAAATTGGCAATGTTCAACGGGAGAAGACGCATGGTCATTTGAATTTTGGGATT